ACGTAGTTCAGGCTGGTCTTGAATCCACAGCAATCTCACTACCTCCGCCTCCCAAGTGTTGGGATTACAGATGTGTGCCACCATGCCCTGCTGTCCATGGTAGAACTGCCTAATGTGCAAGGTCCTGGGTTCAATCCCAGTACTGCAAGAGGAAAAAAAGTGCATCTGTGCACCCCAGGTTCCTCGCTGGACACCCTTCAGTTTCCCAATGCTGAGCTTCTGCCATCACCTCCGAGGTGGATCATTACAGGAAAGAAGGAAACTTCCTGCTTCCTAATGAGTAGGAAGACAGATCCTTAATGACCTTGTTAAGTGGAAACAAATGAACTTGCTCGGCAGCCATTCTCTGAGTACGTCCTGGTCCTCAGGTCTGGTGGTTACAGAGGTGAATGCACCTGGCCCCTGGCCTCAAGAAGTTTCCAGTGGGGAAAAGTAAACACAAAATGATACTTGATACAAAAGAGGCAGCCCCAAGAGATTGTGAGAGCCTAGATTTGGTAGAGATAGAGTAGGAGCTCACCTGGGAGCATGGAGGGATGGACGTTGCGGGCAGTGGTAACAGATGTGGGGTCATCAGAGTGACTGGGGCCTGGTGTGGTCCAACCTGCCTTGGCAGGAGTCAAGGAAGGAAGATGTCTCTGAGGACAGATGGCCGGGGCAAGGCAAGGCAAGGGGAGGGCCATATCACCTCCTGTAGTCCAGAAGTGACTTGGTCTCCCCGAAGACCTGGGGACATGCTGCCGGCCTCCTTTTCTAGGGGAGGCAGATCCTTAGGAGAAGGCGGGGTGCAACTTCCGGCCCACCATCTCCCATTGTTTGCCTTGACCCCATCTTGCAAAATCTGGAAGGAGACATTATGCAGCCTTGGTCTCCCTGTGGCTAGAGGGTCTGCAGACCCCTCTCTCACATGTAGACCCGCCCGGAGGTTCATCAGGGCCACATCATGTCCAGAAGCTCATACTGGAGTGTCCTCCAACAGCTGCCTCCCCCAGAGGAACTGGCCTGCCTCTGCCACCCCTCCTTCCCTCTGTCCAACCCAAGGCTGCAACCTGACCCCCAGAAGGTCCCCAGATCTCAGGCTTTGCTTCTCCCTCCCTCCCCACATCGTAGTGACCCAGACTTCACACCTCCAATTCCCAGGTCCCTCAGGAACCAACCCTTACACACACACACACA